CTTATCTCCAGTAACAACCGACTGGTTTCTTAGTTACTTGTTTGGATGCCGTCAATGCATCCGTATTGAAGACACTTATTCCTCGTGGTGTTTTCTGGATGCGGGTATACCACAAGGTGGCGTGTTGTGTCCTCTCCTCGTTTCAAATTTCATACGCTCTATCACTTCAGAAATAACTTATCTCTACCATCTTTATGCAGACGAAAATCTAGGGTTTCTAATTGACAGAACAAAATCTCCAATGTACCTTAAAGAACAATTTCCCTATTGACATGAATTTCATGACCGTCATTTGCGTTCAGTGTATAGCTTGGCTTTGAATACGTCATTTAATTCACAAGCAACTCGACTTTGGAATTAATTACCACTTAACATCCAGCAAGCGCCATCTTTACAGACTTTTGAAAAACAACTGAAGAAATATTATTTGAATACCCTGTCATTATAATAAATTATTAGATGTATTTAATTTTCTATTATTTATATATATAGCCGTAAAGGAAGCCGTAAAAATAGATAGCTTCATTCTTGGCCCGACTCTCTTTTTAATTTATATAAATGAATTGTGTAACTTACAGGACGTCGGGGGAAGGATTATCTCTTATGCGGATGATACCGTTATTGTCTTTACTGGCAAGACTTGGGATTCCGTACACCATCTGGCTGCAAGGGCTTAGCTCGTGTGTCTAAATGGCTGAGGATATCCCTCAGACAAAACACGAACTACATCTGTTTTGCTCCCTATATATCGTCGCAACCAGGACATAATTTATGTATGAAAATCCACAGCTGCCCAAATCTTGAAAATACCTCGTGTGAGTGTCTGCTTATAAATAAGGTGAACGAAAATAAATACCTCGGCATCATCGTTGATCAAAGGCTTAGTTGGTACTTACAGTTGGAAGTTGTTATTATCTTTTTTATTATCTTAAAAAAAAACGTTACCCCCACACTAGGATTTTCTCCTGTATCGTGGAGGCAGTTTACAAACACAAATTGCACAAGGACACACATCCAGACCCTGAACAATTATTTGTAGGCCATACAAATACTTGTTCCGTGCGTGATTCTAACCCGCGCCCCCCAGCGCAAGCAACTCACTGCTAAGCCACTGCGCCACGGAGCCGTCACGTGTTATAAATCGGATCAGAAAGTTAATTTGGGTATTTAAGTCATTAAGATCATCAATGTCTAGCACTCTATTACTACATAGCCTTAGCACAATCGATAATTTCCTATTGCATCCCAATCTAAGGAGGAGCCACCAAGATCAACATTTTTTTACATCTGGGAAGAGCACAGAGGTCTCTTATAAAGGCCATGTATTTCAAACGAGAGGTGCTCTTCAAACTAGGTAAGATACGACACATAAATTTATTTCATTTAGCGGATATAAACAAAGTAATTTTTACCAAGTTTAAGCCATTCACTGTCCCGTCTATTCTCCCCCAGTCTGTTACCGTGCTATTGTCTTACTATTTTGTCTGAAATTCGGACAGTGAGTGTTAATATAATCTATATCTGCAAAGTAACGCCTGGTACTATTAATTATCTGAAAGAAAAAAAGTTCTGGACAAATCTAAAGAAAATCTTCGTTAAGAAACCTGCATATCGGAGGAATACAATGTTTCAAGGAATTGTGATTTTCGTCAACATGTGCTGCAGCAGCGCGGTGGACTAACTCAGAAAGACTTCACTCTAAAATTAAAAGAAGCCTGCGCGCATCAGTGGGATGTATATAAATTGTCACTTTAGTTTAACTTTTTTTTTTAAATTAGTAATGTGAATCACATTTATAAAAAGAATAAACTGGTGTAACCGATCATGTTTTATAATATAATATAATCTTCTTTAGTCTTTTGTCTTCTTTCTGGCCGTTAGTCTCCCTAAAACTCAAAAACGAAGCGACCGATTCTGATGAAAGTTTTGACTGTGTTTGAGTGAATCCCTGGATGGCTTAGATTCACAATTGGACCCGGTAGGTGACGCTGTTGTCGAGAGAGTTAATCACCATTAACTCTCTGGACCTAATCTATAGCACTTTTAATAAATCGGTCTATGAAAATATAATACAATTCATCATTACAGCCCTTCACAAGTCCACTGCTGAACATAGGCCTCCCCCAAAGAATGCCACAAAACACGGTCCTGAGCCACCTGCATCCATCGACTTCCTGCATGTCTTACCAGGTCGTCACTCCATCTCGTGGGGGGACGCCCTACACTTCGCCTACCGGTACGAGGCTGCCACTCGAGAACCTTTCTTCCCCATCGGTTGTCGGTTCTTCGAGCTATATGGCCGGCCCACTGCCACTTCAGCTTACTAATCCGTTGGGCTATGTCGGTCACTCTGGTTCTACTGCGGATATCCTCATTCCTAAGTTTATCACGCAGAGAAACTCCGAGCATAGCCCTCTCCATAGCTCGCTGAGCGACCTTGAGCTTCCTCATACGGCCAGCAGTGAAGGACCACGTCTCAGTTCCGTAAGTCATCACTGGCAACACGCACTGGTTGTACAATTTCGTTTTAAGGTTTTGAGGTATGTTTGACGAGAAGATGTGTCGTAGCTTCCCGAACGCTGCCCAGCCGAGTTGAATCCGTCGGTTGACCTCTCGGTCGAAGTTGGACTTACCCAGTCGGACTATTTGTCCCAGGTAAACATACTCGTCAACAACTTCGAGCTTAGTGCTCCCAACAACTACCGGCATAGGTGTGACATTAAACATGATCTTTGTTTTGTCATAATACAATTAAAATTATTAATTAAATATGTGTAATTATTAATTAATAATTAATATACATAACATAGTATACAATACTTTATTATATACAATATTTAAAAACTGTAATAAAAAAAAACTAAAACTAATAACTTAATTATCATACAGTCCTACTTCCCGTGGCATCGTGCCAAGAACGCTGGCGGCGTTTCCTCGCTGAATGGCTATTAGCCTTTGAGCGAGAAAAGAGCCAGCCCTCTTATCAACGGCAGCAACGACCAGCCGCGGATAGAGTTCCTTTAGAAACTTCACCGCAAGTGGACCCCACGGACCGATAGTCTCTACAGCAAATTGCACAAATATGTAGTCACCTCTCAGAAACTCATATTTGCGCCACTTAGTTCAGCTGCCTCTGATGCCGCCCCGGCTCTAAACGAGCTATCGTTGAGGTCAGAGGCCGCCAAAGTGTCTACGCAAGTCGTATCCCACACTAGAGCTTTACCTCTCTCCCAAGAAACCAATGTCATACCGTCGGGTCTCCTGCCATCGTCTCTAAATATTCCGATATATATAAATTTTCGGTGGGATATACTTCGGTGATCGAGCCTGGGTTTTTCACTCGAACAGCCTTATTAATTTATTACACAATTAGCAAACCTGCATGTCTGAACAATGAGGACTAATAATCTTCCACTCACCAGATGTCGCTAGTTGTTCCTGAGGTAAAGTTTATTGTTACATAGTGTCAGTTAATTGAGAAATTAGTTTTAAAAAATAGTTTATCATTATCTAGAATATTATATTAATACACAACACAATGCGTCAGTGGTTTGGTTTTTATTTTTTTGCACTTTATAACAATTTTTTTTTAAAATCGGCTTTTAGTTATATTTTATTAGATTTTATTAATCTTATAGTTTGATTTATTAATGTAATTAATATAAATTATAACTAATAATACAGAAAGAAACCTTAAAGATTACATTTTCTTAAGAAATTATCATCCCCAATATGAAATCTGTCAAATAAGTATTTTACCTCAATGTAAAGTGGCGCCGCCCTGGTGGCAGAAAAAGTCGTTGATTAGCCCTCATTACCGCACCACCGGACTATTAGATTGAAGGATTAGAGTGCCCTTAGTATATTATCTATGGATTAGAGGCGCACTCCTCACGCACACAGCGCAATTTCGTGTTGCGCACACACTCGTGCAATATATGTAATTATGTCCTGTGCAACTCGCTAGTCTCCGTGCAGTCTGCTCCCTGTAATCGAAATTCGGTCTGGAGTACATTATTATATTATTATGGGGCATCTATATAGTTTACTCATCTGGTTGGGCTGTATAAATATATAATTGTAAATGAAAATGATAAACATACATAAATATCAACAAAATAAAATAAATGTATAAAAAATACATAAATAAATAAAAACCCAACCAGATGGGAGCCCTCGGCAGAGGAGACCAAACGGCCGAGGGTTAGGGGGAAAGGGAAAGAAACCGGCGGACGATGCGGGCGGTATCGAAGAGCACCGCCTTCTTCATTTGAGCTTGGAGCGGTCCGTCACGGAGTCCCAGTCGCCTCAGATGACCCGAGAGGCTGACTGGGATTAACCCGTTCGCAGAAACGACTACAGGTATAATTTCGACCGGCAGTCCACCCCACATGTCGGTCATATTTTGTTCGCTTATCTGTTTCGGCTTTCACGAGGTTCTCGTCATACGGAATGGTAATGTCGACCAAAAATATCCTTGACTGTGTCCGGTCCATCAGCACAATATCAGGCTTATTCGCAAGAATGGTCCTGTCTGTGATGATGGCCCAGTCCCAGTAGAGCCTGCCGCGGTCATTTTCAAGCACGGCTTCCGGCATATACTTATAATAAGGCAGTTTCCGATCCACGAGACCGTATTTCAGAGCGAGCTCCTGGTGTAGAATCCTGGCTACTAGGTTGTGCCTATGCAAGTACTCAGAGTTAGAAAGCGCCGAACAACCGGAGATGACATTCCTAAGTGATTCACCAGGATGGCGACAAGCTCGACAAATGTCGACGGTGCCATCCCTTAGGATGTATCTCCGATAGTTGTTGGTCTTAATAACCTGATCCTGTATTGCACAGACAAAACCCTCGGTTTCCCCGAAGAGGTCACCAAAACGTAGCCAGTGGAGGAAGGCAACTGTATCTACGAAAGGCTCTATAGAATGGATCATCCGCTCTCGACAGAAAATAATTACGGAGGCTGCACACTTCGCGATTATGCATGGTAAGCGCGCTTAAAAAGCCGCGCCCACCATGCTTCCGCGGCAAGTACAGCCGACGATCCGCTCCGATACCGACGATCTCGGATGATGCACTCTGTGGGACGTCATTATAGTGCGGACTTTTCTGTCCAGAGCGTTCAGTTCGGTCTGAGTCCACCTGAGCATGCCAAAGGTATACATGAGAACAGGCATGATCCAGCCGTTATAAGCGTGTGTCTTATTAACGCCCGACAAAAGACTGTTAAGCATTTTTGTCAAGCGTGCATAAAACACATCGCAAACTGACTGCTTCATACCCGCCTCATCGACACCGATGTTCTGTGACATACCCAGGTATCGGTATGTTTCAGCCTCGGAAAGGGTCCTTATGCTGATGGGCATAGATAAGTCCATGCCCTCAGAGTTAGCAACCCTTCCCCTTTCGACATGGAGGATCGCACACTTATCCGTCCCCAGCTCCATTCCAATAGAATTGCTAAAATCACAAGTGATGTTTAGCAATTCCACAAGATGGGAGCGACTGCAAGCGAATAACTTGAGATCATCCATATAGAAAAGGTGGGTCACTTTTGTACCTCCTTTCCGAAGCTGAAATCCCCTCCCGGAACCCTCCAGTAAGGTACTGAGAGGGTTCAGAGAGAGGCAAAACCAGACTGGACTCAAACAATCGCCCTGGAAGATACTCCTTCTTATCCTTATGTGGTTCTCCGCAGCCGTCATCCGCTGGCCTAGATGAGAAAGGATCGTACTCCACCGCCCCATACACTGCCCGAGGAAGTCTCGAACCGTACAGTCAACCTTGTACAGCTCGAGGACCCTCTTAAGCCATGTATGAGGCACCGAGTCGAATGCCTTTTTGTAGTCTATCCAGGCGGCGGAGAGGTTCCGACGGTTGCGTTTAACCACCTTGCCAATGACCGCGTCAATGAGGAGTGGTTCCTTGTTTCCACGACCACCGCCCCGACATCCATTTTGAGCGCACGACATCACCTGATTTGAGTTCAGGTGACGAGTGATTCTCGCGCTCAAAATGGATGTTAGTGTCTTGTATATGGTAGATAGACACGTTATGGGGCGGTACTTGCTCGGGTCTGTGGAATCCCGGTCTTTAGGAACCAAATGAGTGATCCCAGTAGTGAAGAGGCTCGGGAGCGACTTTTGGTTGAGAGCCTCTTGAAACTGTCGGGCGAGCACAGCGTGACACACCACGAACCCCTTCAGCCAGTAGTGATGCAGTCCGTCGAGTCCCGGACTTTTCCAGTTCGGGGCCCTACGGACCGCCTCAGCTACGTTATCCGGCGTGATGATGACGGAGTCCATGGGCGTAATATTCGCACACTGACTCGCCACAACTTCCGTCCAAGGGCCCTCGCTGTGGTTTACGGGCTCTGACCACAGGCCGCGCCAGAATGCGATAGTGTCGGCCTGTTTCGGTGCTGGGCCCGTTCCAGGTACCATTGTTCGCTCCAATGGTTCATAGAGCCTCTTCTGATCACTCTGGAAGAGACGATTCTGGTTGAACCGTGTCGACCTCTCGGTATATCGCCGAATCCGCTTCCCCCAAGCAGCGATTCTCTGCTTCAGGTCGTCTATGCGCTCCGTCAGTTTTTGCGTTATATCCGGCTGGGACAAACTGATATTTGTCCCAGCAAACGCCATCCTGACGGTGCGCACAATTCTCGGCCTATTATTGCCCGACCTGAAGCTTATCAGTCTGCCGTTGAGGACCCTTGCCTTTGCGATACGGTCCTCAATCCTTCTTCTCCAGGCTGGGATGGTGCTACTTTGTCTAGTAGCGCGTCCAGCCGTGGGAAGTTTGGCGCCAATAATACGACAAACTGCCAGTGCGACGCAAAAAAGAATTGAGTCCGTCTCACAAAGGTCCCGGCTGGCTTCCAAATAGGTCACCAGCATTGAGTTAAGAGCCCTCACGACAGCCCGATTCCGCTTGCTTAGGGGTATGCGCGGTAGTTGCGGTCGATTTTCGAGAGGCGTACTGCGCGTTTCCACAATCGCCTCCTCCAATTTACTCCTCATCTGCTCTAGTTCTTGGGTGACCATTCCATCATCGTCTGAATCAACTACAACTGGAAAATCCGCGGCGGCATTGACGTGTGCAGATTGTTCTGCAATTTGTGGCGTCGCATTACCAGCTGCAGCATTTTCATCCGATGAGGGAACGGCCTCACGTCGTACTCGTTTGAGTTCGGCGTCACCAAATATGTTGGAGCGCAGGATGTACCGAACTCGGTCTGCCAGGTTTTGCTCTGATACATGAACAGATGGCTCCAGCTCCGCGAAAAAGCGATGCATCCGAGCCCGATACGCCAACATTCCAGTTTCTTCCCCTTTTGCCCTAAAATACGCTCGCAATGCGTTTGCGTTCATGATTTTTGTCCAACGCATACGACGTGTTCCACCAGCGGCAGGTGCCACTTGCTGAGTCCGAGAAGACCCAGCCGACACCAAGCCCTCTGGTGGGGATGATGGATGCGGGCGGCTACTAGGTGGTCTTGCAGCCCCCCGCGCTTGGCTGGCGACCTGCTTGCTGTCGCGTCCAGCGCCAGCTCCAGACGCGCCCTGGCGACCTCTAGGCAGCGGCCCTTTGCGCACTCTTTTATTTTCCATCATTCATTGTATGGGCGTCAATTAACGGGAGACGCCCAGGCCCGGCACCGTTTCATGGTGCGGCCATAAGCACAGACGGACCTTTGCACCCTCAATTCTGCCGAGGCACGGCGCTCACACCTCTTGGCAAGGCGCTGACTGACTGCACTGACGTAGCAGTTTTGTCACTTAACTGTTACGTCAGCGGGCGGTGGGGTCGTCACTTCCCTACGCCTATTATTATTTTTATTATTATTTTTTATTATTGTTATTATTATTAACAAATAAGAATACCCATTATTTTCTGAGCACCCACGTCTCCGGCTCCGTCATTTTGGCGCCTGTTATCCTAAAAATTTATTTCAGCAACACAAAATATGTCAAGCTTTTATTTTATAGCTGTAACCGTTAGTGTACACAAAATTAAATTATTAACAGCTTTGTGGTCATAATTTATTTATTTGTCGTTAAATATGAAAATACACGCACTCGGTTCAAGAAAAAACGTAACGTCTAAAGCATCATAAAAACCTAAGTTGCACAAAAAGTTGCGGTAAACAACTGTTTGAACAGTAAAAATGATATTATGGATGAAGATGAAGACGCAACGGCGTTGACGTTTATACAAAAAAAAAAAAAGAAAAAAGGCGACCTTTAAAACTTTTACCCGCTGTCATCAAATTCTTTTAGTTTTCGCTTGTTAATGTCAAAATTTTGGAAGAGTAAATTTTTTTTGTAAATGTAAATTTTGTTTATGTCATATGCTTTCCTGTCAATTAAATAGTAAAGGAAACAAATGCAACAAAAAACTGTTTATAAACGTTTCTTAGGCTTTTAAATCTTGTAACTAAACTACAAAACTAGCTAAAAGAGTAAACCTTTTATTGTAAATAATTTAGTTCATACTAGCTTATACCCGCGGCTCCGCTTGCACTTATTTAAAAGGTGACAGTTTTTTTTATCACTAAAATTACTAAATTTAAGATCGATTAGAAGTTTGCATCCTACTAATATTAGATCTTTACATATGAAATTAGCGTTTTGTCGTACTGACCACTTTGATCCGATATCCCCTCTTTGGTTAAGAATTCCAAATTCAAATTTATAAATTCATTTAGCTGGTACATTTGAGTTTTAAAAACAGTCATTCATTTGTTTTTTCCTCACAATTTTTTCTATGGCGTCGCTTATTACCGCACAATGGAAAACATGAAATATCGGTATATTTACGAATACGAGTTCTACCGTGGCACAAGTGCTGCAGAAACAGCTCGAAAGATTAATGATGTGTACGGCGCTGGTGTCGTAAAAGAAAGCATTTTGAAACCAAAACCGTACTGTTTTGGTTTCAACGTTTTCGTTCTGGAAATTTCGACATTCAGAACCAACCCCGTGGACGGCCGGAGACCAAAGTGGAAAATGAAGAATTAAAGGCTATTGTGGAAGCATATCCATCACAACGCTCTTCAAATATAGCTGCAGGCTTCGGGGTAAATGATAAAACTGTAATGATTTCTTATATTTACGCGAACACTACATTTAAATAACAATAATAATAATAATAATATACAATTTATTTAGTTCTAAACAACAAATTAACATAACAAAATAAATTAATGGAATGGAACTAAAATGGCGTCTACTCAGCACAAATCTTATAGAAACCACATAGTGATATCTATAACGCTGATTTTCAGTAAACGCCAGAGACATAGGTGCAATATAATTTAAAATTAAAAATTTTGTACAGCCGACTTCAATATAAGTTATTTAAGAATAACTTAAAAACTATTGGTCTGACCTTGATCAAATTCATATGGGACCACACGAGAAGTACCAGCTTTCAAATAAAAAAAGAATCATCGAAATCGGTTCACCCGGAAAAAAGTTCTGAGGTAACACACATAAAAAAAAACCAAAAAAAAAACATACAGTCGAATTGAGTACCGGCTCCTTTTTGGAAGTCGGCAGAAAATAAACTTAGCTAATCACAGGCTCCAACTTATAAAATTTATAAATAATAATTAAAAAAAACTGTTAACATTTAGGAAAAAAAGGCACAATAATAAGCCAACGCAACAAAAAGCGTAACAAAGGGCGTATGCAAGATACAAGGCACACAATTAAATTATTTAATAAGATACATAATTTAAAATTAAAAATTTTGTACAACCGACTTCAATATAAATTATAAAGAATAACTCAAAAACTATTGGTCTGACCTTGATCAAATTAATATGGGACCACACGAGAAGTACCAGCTTTCATATAAAAAAAGAATAATCATAATCGGTTCACCCAGTACAAAGTTATGAGGTAACACACATAAAAAAAACATACGTCGTCAGAAAGTCGGCAGAAAAGTAAAATATATGGAGAATTAAGCAAGTATCTTTATAATATACAAGCATAGTATACTTCATAAGAAAGGTGTCATACATCGACACAGAACTATGCTAACTCTGTAAATTTAAAAGATATTCTTTTAGTTTAGTTTTACTTTAAAAGTGCTTTTGATCGGAGGTGGTATATTATTCCAACAGTCTGTGGCAGCATACCGAAAGCTACCACGAAATATAGAACGCAGAAACAAAACTAATTTTACGGATTTTATCGCGTATATTAGCTTATTTTATATTCCCGACGTTTCGAGCACTTTACAGCACCCATGGTCACTAGGGGGACTGAGGTGTATGACGTCCCAATGTCATAGTTACCACGGCTACCTCCAGATTAAAAATTATTAATTTTTGTTCCGATCTACGCAGTATGAACTGACAGTATCTTGAAGCCTTGCAGTTGTATGCTTGGGTTGGGATTTAATTTTATTAATTATGGGATCCCAAGCAGATGGTAGCACTCAGCCATCTTCTCTATTGAAATTAGGATGTTTTTTGATTTCAATAGCTTTGCGAATCATCCTTGGAAGGAATCGATGCTCTTTAGCGAGGATATGTAGTCTTTCAAATGTAATGTAGTGACGGGGGCGATCCTGTACGTGTTCACAGACTGCAGACTTCCCGGAGCGTCGATTCCCATCAGCTATGTGTTCTTTAACGCGAGTTTTTATGGATCTTTTGGTTTGTCCTATATAAGAGAGACCACATTCACAATCAAGCTTGTACACTCCTGCATCTTACAGAGAACATTACACTTGACTGATGGTAAAAAGTGACAAATTTTCTTCGGCGGCTTGAAGTATGTTTTAATGGAAGCACGCTTCAAGATCCTGTAGCCAATCTTGTCAGTGACACCTCTGACATATGGCAGTACAGCAGGCACTCGCTCGACTGTGGCCGGCTTCACCCGTTCACTGTGACGTAGACGCGGGACCTGAAGCTTATTGTCGTGCAAAACTTGCTTGACGTGTTGGAGCTCGGCGGCCAGGTGTTTACTGTCACAGATCCCTCATGCTCTCTGAAACAAAGATTTAGCCACGGTAGCTAACTGTGAAGGAGAGTGATGAGAATCACCATTTAAATACCTATCTATATGGGTCTTTTTTCTATACACAGTGTGGCTCAAGGTGTTATCAGGATTCCGAATTACTAACACATCTAGAAAAGCTAAGAATTGTTTGCCTCTAACTCTATTGTGAACTGAATTTTAGAATTTATGGAGTTAAGATGGTCTAGAATGCAGTTACTTTATCTAAAGGTAGAATTGTGAAAGTGTCGTCTACGTACCGCTTGTAGAATCTTGGGTTTACGGGA